GGTGTATCGTTGCGCCGTATTGGGTACGTGCTGGTCGGCATGCTCTTTGTTATTGTTTTCGTCTTGGAACAGGTCTTTTTCATTATCTTGGTTGGGGCTACGGGTAGCCTAATTGTGGATTGGACTCCTCATGGTCTGAAGAAGCTTGATGCTCGCCATGGTGCCGCTGGTGGTTGCAGCGTTGTTCTACGTCGTCTGGTTTGTGGTGGTGGTAGTGTTTTGTCTCTGGGATTTACGGCACCATGCTCATCGTGAGCTGCGGGTTCGTGGTGCTTGTCGCGTGCTGAGTGTTGAATGCTCGTGCTGAGTGTTGAATGCTCCTGCCTAGAGCAAGGCACCCGCGCATAATATAATCATAAGTCGAATCATCACTCCTGCTCCTCCTTCTTCCCTAACTCCTCCTCCGCGCCGCGTCCTCATCCTCCTCTTCTCCTTTTCATCCTCCTCCTCACTGTCCGTCTGTGTTTCTCTTCCTCTCCCCTCCTCCACCTCCACCTCCCCGTTCTCCCTCCTTCCTCCTCGTCCTCATCCTCCTCGTCCTCCTCCTCGTCCTCTTCGTCCTCCTCGTCGTCCTCCTTCCTCGTCGTCTTCACGTATCAAAGCACGACAGGAAGGGAGAATCAGTACCCACATGACAGACAGAGAGGGCACCAGATGCACGACACGACAAGAAATCGTGAACGACCAGTTGTACAGCAGACAGGAAACAGCTGGAGCGACCACACGACGAGCCCAGCGACCATTGACCAGCAGACCGACCATCAGACAGACCAGCAGACCGACCACCAGACCCGTAGCAGCCCAGCAGACTGGACAATGGACCAGCCGATCGACCCACAGAACAGCAGACCGACTGCCGACAAGCAGACTTGCAGACCACCGACCACCAACGGCCGACCAGCAAACCGACCACCTACAGGCAGTCCTACCTACCACAACCACTACACGACGACCGCACCCAACACCGGCTAGCAGACCCGCGGACCAACAGACCGAATGTTGGCCCGCCGGCCGACCAGCACACCAGCAGACCGCCCACCACCCGCCGACCAGCAACACAGCAGACGGACAACCGACCAGCAGACCCGCCGATTACCATAGCGACCAAAACACGACCATACCCTCAACCGACCAGCAGACCGACCAGCGGACCAGCCGACCAGCAGACCGACCACCGACCGCCAACAAGCAGCCCAGCAAGCCGACCACCGACCAGCAGACCCATTAACTACCACATTCTCGCACTGACAGAGCTAAACAAGGCGATCGAAGGTCTCGGTCGAGTCTTGGCCAAGCTCCCGAGACCAAAGGCCACCGCGCAGAAATGGTTGAAGAGGGCACAGGCGAGCTTACATGTGAGCTCCTCCACCTTCACAGCACGATCGTGCAACACAGCGCCCCGCCGCTGGCCAGTTGGAAGCGCACTGACACCACAGTAATAAAAAAGATCTGGAGATCTCACACTTCCACAAAAGTGCCGCCACATTTACACGATAGCATTGTTGTACAAACTGTCCACCAGCCGACTGCTATACAACAGGTTACAACGAAGAACTGATTCGAATCAGACTGCCGACCAGGCGGGCTTCAGACCAGGACGCTCGACCACATACCATCTTGCCACCTGATACGTGAGCGGGCACACGAATGGCGCCAACTTCTCTCGGTCGCGATATTCGATTTCCAAACAGTTCTCAATTAGAGGGTCCGCCGCTGGATAACCCCAAGGGGGGGTGTTGGGAATCCTCCCCCTCCCCATTTCCTCGATCCGTCGTCGGGGACCCCCCCCCCCTTCCCCGATCCGTCGTCGGGGGACCCCCCCCCCCTTTCCTCGATCCGTCGTCGGGGACCCCCCCCCCTCCCCTTTCAAAAGGGAGGGGGGGTGGGTCCGAACCCCCCCCCCTTCCCCTTTTTGGCCGCACCCCCCCCCTCCCCCCCTTTCGCCACGCCGCCCACCCACTCCGGAACCCGGCCCTCGCCACCCCCACCCTTAGTCCTCACCCTAACCCAACCCCCTAATCCTAACCCCAACCACTAACCCCAGCCCCAGAGAGCACTCACTACTCATTACTCACTACACACTACTGACTACTCGCTATTCGCTACTCACTTCTCACTACCCCCACTCACGACTCACTAATCCCTATCCACTACTCACTACCCACCACCCACTACTCTCTACGCACTGCTCCCTGCTCAGTACTCCCTCCTCCCTACTCACTACCCACTACTCAATTCTCACTAAGCACTACTCACTACTCACTACTCACTAAGCGCTACTCATTACCCACTACACACTATCCACTACTCACCACTCACTATTCACTACTCATTGCCCACACCTCATTATTCACTACCCACTACTCGCTACTCGCTATTCCCTACTCCCTGCACAATACAGACTACATCACTCAGTACTCACTGCTCGCTACCCCCATACTCGCTACTCACTACTCACTACTCACTACCCGCTACTCACTACTCACTAGTCACTACATAGTCTCTAGTCGCTATTCACAACTCACTAGTCACTAGTCACTACTCAGTACTCACTACTCACTAATCGCTACTCGCTCCCCACTATTCGCTACCCACTTCTTACTACTCACGGCTCACTATTTACTACTCGCTACTCCCTACTCGTTACTAATCAATAGCCACTACTCACTACTGACTTCTCTCTACTCACTACTCACTATTCACTACGCCCTACTCGCCCCTCACTACTTGCTATTCACTAATCACTACCCACTGCCACTACCCATCACTCTCTATTCATCACTACTCACTACTCATTACGAACAACGTACTACTCAGTACTCACTACTCACTGCTCACTGGTCACTACCCGTACTCACTATTGACTAATCACTAATCACTATTCACTACGAACTACCCACTACTCACTACTCACTAATCACTACTCGCAACCCACTACTCACTACCCACTACTCACTACCCACTACTCCTCAGTCTCTACTCCCTACTCAGTACTCACTACTCGCTACGCACTACTCACTACTCACTACTCGCCACTCACTACTCACTTATCAGTACACACTTCTACTATTCACTGTTCACTACTCCCCACTCCCTACACCACCCTACTCCCTACTCGCCACTCACTACCCACTACTCACTACCCAATAATCATTGCTCACTACGCACTAACTCAGTACTCACCACTCACCACTTCCTACTCCCAATTCCGTACTCCCTACACACCTTCTCCGGCGCAGAAAAGAGAAGCGAGAGAGGCACCCCCCTCCCCGGCTCCTGTTCCGGCGCAAAGGGGGGAGGGGGGGCCACCCTCCAGCGGTAAGGGGGGAAGGGGGGGGGGGTCCGGAACCCCTCCCCCCCTTCAAGGGGGGGGGAGGGGGGGGGGTCGGCCCTCCCTCCCTTAAGGGGGGGAGGGGGGGGGGTTCTGGATCCCCCCCCCTTGGAAGGGGGGGGGGGAGGGGAGGGGTTTGCCCCCCCCCCCCCCCCCCCCTAGTGTATTCAGGGAGATCCACTGGCGCACTTTCTTTCAATTATGTTGAGCACAGGAGCATATGGGCAGCATTGACAGCACAAGGCGTGCAAATTGAACCAATTTAATTTCTTGCGCAGTTCTACGAGGGGCAGACAGCTACGTTGAAGACAGACGTCAATCAGCATCCGCTTCAGCTTTCTGCAGGGCACGAATCAAGGGGAACCACTTTGCGTTCGACGTTGTCCAACGCTGTTCTACAAGACGTCTTTGACCCGCTGGTGTCAGAATGACAGTGGGGTGTGCATGGAGTTGAGCTGGGATCCGCGAGCACGGCCACGCTAAACAATCCAGGCTTTGCCGTCAACGAGTTCCTGACCAGCCACACACTCCCGCGTCTGAAGACGATCGACGGCATTGCGTGCTCAGCAACGCCGCACAGTGCCGAACAACACCCGAGCAGAACAAACATACTAAGCAACCAGACGAGAAGGACGGGGAGGGCGCGATCACGCACAGCACGTGTCCAAGATACGGCGCGAGGGCAGTGTCAAACACTTCGGCCACACCATCAGGTTCCACGAGCCCGTGGACATGGACAAAACCACACCACGCGAACAGCATGGGCATCGTTCACTTCTCGCAAACAAGAACTGACCAGCAAGTACTCTTCTCTGGTTCACGGGTTCCGGCTATCCAGCAGCATTGCAACATTGACGTATCATACGGAGCAGAGGCGTGGACGTTCGCGGAACCCTCCCGGCAGCATTTGCGACGGACGCAATGACCCATGCGTGATCATCCGAACGCCGCGGCGACGCACAACACGCAGATCTACACAGCAGCCAGAGACCCACTGCTTTCGACAGCACAACCCAAGCGACATCAGACAATGACCGCAGCACCAACAGCGCAAACGACGTCGCAGACAGAAGCCCATGTCAGCGTGAAACGCCGGCCACGCCCGACATGCCCAGCGAGAGCTGCGAAGGCAGCACAATTGCAGACCCAACGGAACAACCTTGGGCCGTATACATTCAGAGAGCGACACGACGAGCAGGACACCTTATACATTTCCACGGCGTCGACAAGAAGGTGGCGTCACACAAACGAAAAGTGTAGCGCATGGCTTCAAGAGCCACGTAATCACGACCTCCTTTCCTCGTTCCTGTCGGTTCTTGTTCGCCCCGGTGCTGTCCGTTCCCGTGTTGGCACACGCCTGACACGACAGAGAGGAACGATGGGCGGCAATGCAAGTGGGAGGTCGAAGAAGCTTGGGCGCCAAACCAGCGAATGCCTGCAGTTCCACCCCGAGCCCTCCCCTCCCCCCCTCCAGTTGGCTGGAGTTGCAGGTCGGCTATGACACGCCTCCGCGGACAGCGGGCCAAAACGGCGCAATGGGGAGGGATGGGAGAGAGGGATCGGATGTCAGACGAGGCGCGAGCGCACCCAGCTTGCCCTCCCCCCCCACACCCCTCCTCCCACGCTGCGTCCTCCTGCCTCTGCTCGGTCCTTGGAGCTCGCGCGGCAGGGCCGTGTACTGGGACGAGCCTGAGAGGTCCGTGCTCCGCAGCCTGTGGTTCCACGGCCCGCCTCCGCGCGCGGCGTGGTGCGGGGGCGGGGGGTCCGCCGCCGAGCCGCCATGCAGGCCGCCCTTCGAGACGGGAGCAGGGTCGGAGGCGTGGCGCTGCGATGGCGCTGCGTCTTGCCCGCCTGGTCATAGCTAGTCGGAGGAGGAAAAAACCTACCCATACCGCCACCCTTGCCTCGTTTGCCCATTGCTTTTTACCTGTAGGACGGACGTCGTCGCCGCTATATTCGCCTCAGAATTCTAGTCAGAAAGCACCTTGGGAGAGGTCCCGGGAGTGGCGGCATCGGTACCTTTTAGCTTCCCCCAGGCTTGCCCGCCTGCTCGCAGTGGTGCCCCTCTTCTCCCGTAGTGAGGCTCGGGGCTGCGCACAGGCGCCCCCCCCCCCCCGGGGTGGCCTCAGCAGGCCCCCCGCCTCCCCCTCGCCTCCGGCCTCGCCTGCCCGACCTGCCCCGCGCCCCTTCCCCCTCAGTCTGCCGAGGCGGCAGCTTCGCTCCTGTTCGAGGAGTCGCAGTCGGGAGCAGCTCCCGCGCTGCTCGATCGCGCCCCAGCCAACGAACAAACGAGCTCGTCCTCACCCGCCTCTACGGGTGCGCGCGACGGCGGCGAACAAGTACGGCAGGCTCGCGGAACGTGTCGACGAGGGCGCGGGCGCCTAAGATGGACGGTTTGCGGCCTGTTCCAAGTTGGCCTTGAGGCATCGTTCTTCGAGGGCAAAAGAACCCCCAACCTTCATAGCACAATGAAGACGCAGCTTAACTTAGGTCCACGTCATGCAATAGGGTTAATCAAACTGGGTAGTTTGCTTGGCTCGTCTGCTGACAACGCCCCCTGCCCCTAATGGGTCGGGCGTCTTAGCTTAGGTCCGCTCTCAGAGGTCAGGGGTCCCTTCATTGCTGGTCAACGTCTCGTTAAGCGAAGCCACGCGTGCACTAAACGGAGAGGGAGGAAGAGGAGGAGGAAGGAAGACGAGGACGGGGGAAGGACAATGAAGATATCTTTCAATGGCAAAGCGGCCACGCGCACCACCCTGAAGGCGCGGGTCCGGCGGGACGCCGCGCCGCCCGCGCGCGCGCCCAGTGGCGCGCGCGCGTTCTGGCACGCCCTGCTGCCGCACGGATCTGTCGCCGAGCGGAGCAGGGTGCACAGGGAGCGAAGCGGGGTGGGTGGGCACCCGAGTCCTGGCTCGAACTCGAGCCAACGACTACGGACCCAAAATGGCTATGGCAAAGCCCCCGCTTCCCTACGCTTAACCTGCAGTCTACCAACATCACAGACTATACAAGTTAAGCGAAGCCACGCGTGCACTAAACGGAGAGGGAGGAAGAGGAGGAGGAAGGAAGACGAGGACGGGGGAAGGACAATGAAGATATCTTTCAATGGCAAAGCGGCCACGCGCACCACCCTGAAGGCGCGGGTCCGGCGGGACGCCGCGCCGCCCGCGCGCGCGCCCAGTGGCGCGCGCGCGTTCTGGCACGCCCTGCTGCCGCACGGCCAAAACCAAAAGAACGCAGCCGCGCGCGGGCGAAGGACGCCCGGGCGCGCGACCACTGGCCTGCAAGCCTGAGGCCTTCCTGGAGCGGGCGCCAGGCCGCCCCGGCTGGGCAGCGCCCCGCCGGCGGCGTGCAACGCGCGCCCGAGCTGGCCCCTACGGCCTCGCCCAGGCGTGGGGGGCTAAACGCTCCCCAGGGCCGCGCGCCGCCGGCCCGCCGGCGCGGGATCGCGCCCGCGAAAGGCGCTAGCCGCGCGCGTCGCGCCGGACGCGACATAGAACACGCAGAGAGCGAGCGCGCGCGTGCGAAAGCACACGCGCGAGCTGGAGGTGCAAGCTGGCTGCAGCCCAGAGGACGCCACGTGGCCCGAGCAGCCCGTCGCTCCCCCCGGTCCTCCTCCTTCTAATCCCCGTCGTCGGGCGGTTCCCCTGTGGCGGTCAGCGCGCGGCCCTCGATGCCCCATGCTGCCGGCGAACATGTCAACGTAGGTCGATCCGCTCGTCCCCGTCGTCGCGCCCTTCGGCATCCTCGTCGAGTAGGCCCTCGGCTGCCAGCTGCACCTCGACCAGGCCCTCCCGACACCAGGCGGCGTCGCCAGGCAGCTGGCGCAAACGGCCTCGCCGTCCGCCCCGCGGCCCTCAGCGGGCCCCCGGGTCGACTGTCGCGGGATCCGTAAAAGGCAAGCAACGCACCCGGTATGAGCGAGCAAGTGATGCGAGCAATGTAGCCACTGCTCCCTCGCTCGAGCTCGCCCAGCGGCCGCAAGTACTGCGCCACTGCGTCGTTGAACACTGCAATGCCCGTGAGCACCGGCATGTCGTCGAGCACCCGAGCGCCCTTGCAGCTGCGCACGCCCTTGAACACAAACACGTCGCCGATCAGCGCGCCGTCGAGCGCAGGCACGCTCGTGACCTCGTGCGTGCCCCGGGAACTGAGCGCGCGTGTGAACACGACCACATCCCCGTGGCCCTCGACGAAGAGCAGGTTTGCCGCCGTGACTGCGCCCCTGAGGCTGGTCCCCTCGCGGCCGGGCCCAGCTGGGCCCTGTCTCACGGACGAACATACCTTCGCCGCTGGAACCTCGCCCCAAGGGCTGGTCCCCTCGCGGCCTGGCCCAATATCGGCGTGGCCATCCACCAACAGGCCGCCCGCCGCTGGAACCCCGCCCCATGGGCGTGTCCCTCCGCGGCCGGGCCCGGCAGGGCCATGTCCCGCGGTAGACTGCGGGTTGTCGCAGGCGGCTGCGGATAAGGTAATACAAACGAAGCACGCCCACTGCAAGTACGGCCCCTCCGGGAGTACCATCACGCAGTGGGGAATGCCAAGAACGTCCGGGAACACCGTCGCGCCGTTGGCCACAGGCACGCCCGTGCGCACCTGCATGCCGTCGAGCCTCGGGAAGCTCGTGACCTCGAGCGCGCCCTGGGGCAGGAGCGCGGCCGTGAGCCGGACCACCGTGCGCATCTGCATGCCGTCGAGCCTCGACAAGCTCGTGACCTCGAGCGCGCCCTGGGGCAGGAGCGCGGCCGCGAACCGGACCACGTCCTTGAGCACCGCGCTGTGGAGCAGAGCTTCGCCCCCAAGCGCGCGCGCGTTGTTGAGCACCGGCGCACCTGTGAGGACCCACCTGCCATAGACCAAGGGTGGAACGGCCGCTGGGACTTCGCTCCTTGGGCTGATCCCCTCGCAGCCGGGCCAAGCGGACCCCTGTCCCGCGGCCGACGCTTGCCAGTCGGGTCTGGCCGGGAGGGCGAGCACGACCACGCCATCGAACGCGACCATCAGCAAGATGGGCCCACGCGAGCCAGTGAACGCAAGCGCAAGTAGCCGTACCTCGCGGGGCGGGGTCGCCATGGCGGGCCTCCCGCCCGGTGGCTGCCCGGGGCGGGTCAGCGCGCCACGGCGTTCCAGGGCGCCCACGAGCATCGATGTGACGTCGAGCACCTGGGCATCCCCGGCCTGGAGCACGCCCTTGAGTACGACCACGTTCTCCGACTCTGACTTTGCCGGCGGGCAGTCCAGGCCGACCGCTGGAAACGTAACCCCATCCCCATGCGACTCCAGATAAGATGGTGGGTCTGCCGCGGGGACTTCGCCCATGCGGGCTGCCCCCCTCGCGGTAGGAGCGGTGGCTGCGACCTGCCGGACCTGGGCGGCATCGGTCTTCCGCGGCATGCCGTGCCCGATCGCGGGGATGCAATGCTCCGCGCCGAAGGCAGTGCGGGCGCTGGCCCCAGCGTAGACGGCCACGTCGATGCCGGCGCCGGTGTTCGTCTCTGCGCTGGTTTTGGCGTCGGCGCAAGCGCCCGGGTCAGCGTCGGCGCCGGCGCTGGCGTCGTCGCTGCTGTCGCTGTCGGCGTAGGCGGTGACATTGGCACCGACGTCGGCGCTGGCGTCGGCGGTGGCGCAGGTGGAGTCGCCCTCGCGGCAGTCCTCGCAGTTCGGCAGGCGCGGAGAGACCCGCAACGGTGGCGGCGTGGGCTGCTGCGGCGCCCTGGCTGGGCAAGCCCCGTCGGTAGCGTGCGGCACGCGCCCGAGCTGGCCCCCACGGCCTCGCTCAGGCAGGGGGCAGACGCACCCCGACCGCACGGCGCCGGCCCGCCGGCGCGGAGCCGCACCCGCGAAGGGCCCGCGACGCGCGCGTCGCGCTAAGCGCGTCCGAAAGTCGGGCGGGCAGCGCGCGCGCGCGAGAATGCCCGCGTGAGCGGCACGGAGCCTGCGGGGCCAAACGCGCGCGCGCGGAAGCGTGGTGCCGGTGAGCCAGTCCAGATCGCCCGTGCTGGCTACGGCGCCAAAGTCGGAGCTGGCGGCGGCGCTAGCGTCGGTGCTGGCCGCGGCGTTCGCGGTCGCGAAGGCGGCAGCGCCTGCCTCGGCGTCGGCGCGGGCGTCGGCGCTGGCGCTGATGTTGGCGCGGGCCGTGATGCTGAAGCCGGCCTTGGCGCTGGCGTCGATGCTGGTGCCGAGTCCCACGTCGGAGATCCTGGCGCCAGGCCTGGACCAGTCCACGGCCCAGACCTCGCCGGCCTCTGTGCGGGCGATGGGGAAAGCGTCGGTGCTGGCACCTGCACCGGCAGCCGAGAAGGCGACGGCGCCCGCGCGGGCCTCGCAGCCGATGGCGTTGATGCCGGCGTCGGCGGTGACGTTGGTAGCGTCGGCGCGGGCGCCTGCGGTCGCGGCGGCGGAAGCGGCAACGTCATCATAGGCCTCGCCGTCGGCGTCTGCGCTGGCGTCGTCGCTGGCGTTGATGTCGGCGTAGGCGGGGGCATTGGGGGCGTCGGCGCTGGCGTCGCAGGACGCGGCCCCGGTGCCAGCCCGCGCATCGGCAACGATGTCGGCGTCGGCGCTGGCGTCGGCGCGGATGCTGGCGCAGGCGTTGGCGACGGCGTTGACGACGGTGGCGGCGTCGGTGCTGGGAACGGTGCCCTCTGCAGGGCCCGCGGCGCCGAGCCTGGCCCAGACCATGTCCCAGACCCCATCGGCCTCTACGTCCGTCTCGGCCCCGTCCG